TCTGTCGAACATAGGAAAATGGTTTTGAATATTAGGACGGCTGCTTTATCCAAACAATATTAAAGCTTATGTTTTAGAGGATCACTTTAACTAATGATATGTTTTGTTGAAAAAAAAATAAATAAAAAAAAAAATAATTGCCATCATTTGGTCTCAATGCATGACAGAATTTCAGTCAGTTCGATTACTCTGTTTTTGACCAAAAATATATAATTTTTTTTAGGTGGAAATGATCCATTGAGCAAATCCCACTAATTTTACTTAGTGGCCATGCTATCTTTTGACTGAAAACCATCTTTTTATGATTCTGAAATCGCGTCTTCTCGTCTTATCACAGACCTGCTTAATTTTTTAAGAATTTTTTGTTCAAGACCTAAACAAAGTCGAATTCATTTCAAATTTCATATTTAGTAGTTTTTATTTATTAGGTTTTTTAATCTATTTTTTTCATAATTTTTAGAAATTTTTTTATTTTAGGCTTATTTTTATTAGTATTAGTTTCATTTTGCTATTTAAGTTTCTTTATGCTATTAGTTTTTTTTTTTTTTTTTTTTTTTTTGTATAGTTTTAAGGTTTTGTTTATTATAAATTTATGTACTACAAAGAATAGAAAAATAATTTAATTCAATTATTAATAATATATCATAATTATATTTGAATTTCTTCAACTTTGTAGATTCAAAGTTACACCTTTGTAGGTTCAAAGTTATCCCTTATTCTTTTGAGAACGACTTTATAACTCTTGCTATGTTAATTGTTATACTTTTGTGGGTTCAAAGTTATCCCTTGATCTGATGAGGATTGATCGTTTTGACAATAACCACTCTAACGACAATCACTGTATAGTGAAGGCCCCTTGGACAATAATAAACACTCAAGAATGATTTATAGACAACGTGTATTGAGATTAGTGACAACCAGGTTTATTATTATATATAAGTTTATTTTTCATCATATTATTATTATTATTATATATTTCATTTTGTAGGAAAATTAGAACTAGCCTTGATCGAAGTATCATGAGCATCGATCGATCGACCCAAATATAAAGATTTAATGGCCAAGATCATTCAAGAGGATCCTAGAAGGATTCTGAAAGAGTTTACAACAAGAAAAATTCATTAGGGACATTACATGAAGAAAAGGAACTTTTATAATAAAATATAAAATATACTTGGGCAGAAAATTCTGGGCCAGCTTCAGTGTTTTAGTCATAATCTTTTGACTCAAAACTTGGAATTGCACAACCTTAGCAGCTATGAAAATAAGAATTAAAGCCCGTCAATTTTTTGTTTAATAAAAGTTTTGTGAATCATTCTTCAAACAGGTCAAAACCGGATATATTGTGTGTGAATCTCTGAAAACTAGTACTTTACAAATACTATTTTTATTCAAAATCAATTCTCTATTATCAACTCTACAAATATTCAAAAACCTTTTAAATTATTTTTCTTTTTACTTCACTGTTGATGCAAAAATCTTCACGACTCGGAATGACAGCGTTTACATGCAAAACAAAACGACGTCATCTCGAATGACACCGGTGGGGTGCCAGCCACCCTCCAATGATTAAGTCAGTACTTGTAATCGTATTACATAAAAATCATGTAAATTCTCTTTAGGGGTTTTTTCTAGTACCTTTTTATAAGGGCTTGGTACCCTATTTATAGCTGTCGATTGGAATCAAATTGGTCCTGCGGGAGACCTGCTTGTGCGAGATCAGAGGAGATGGTTTGTTGCCAAATTTGTCGGGAATATGATTTACTCCTTTGACTTTCTCAAATTATGCCAAGGTTATGTTAGTAAAATATATACTTCATTTGACTTTTAAAATATAACAACCCTTATACTAATATGTCATGAGATAATTAACAATATACTAATAAATCATTAATTAAATATGCAACTCTATATTTAATTAAATATGCAAAATAAAGCAATAAAATAATAATAATATGCAAGGAATGAATCTGGACCGAGGCTAGTATTGGATACTATGTCCTTAAGACAGATTCGCCCCGCTATGGTGCTAACGGACTCAGTGGCGTCTATCCCCAGGATACAACGGTCTACATCCACCAGTAGCAGCACTACAAACTCGTGGGTACGGCGAACCTCCTCCGTGTAATACTCTCTCTGACTCAAAAATGCATCTATATACTATATAAATGCTGAATTGGGTGTAATCCGAACTAAATGGTTCGGACCAATCTTAATATAGCTCAATGAAATTGGATTAGGGTCGAAGTGGCTCGAACCACTTAACCTATGGTTTGAACCCACTTGGGTTGGATTCCAGTCTAGAGAGGGAGATAGAAGAAAATGAAAATGAATAAATTGCAAATGATCCAAAGGGGGGTATTTATAGAAACAGATATGCCTTTTCGGATTAGGTGTATCTCTTCATTATTGGACACAACCATTGCAATAGGTTGCAATGGTTCACATGATGTCTGTTCACCACTAGACACATCTATTCCAATAGGTTGCAATGGTTCACATGGTGTCTGTTCACCAATAGACACATCCATTCTAATAGGTTGCAATGGTTCACATGGTGTCTGTTCACCAATAGACACATCCATTCCAATAGGTTGCAATGGTTCACATGGTGTCTTTTCGAGTGGGTGCAACCATGGGTTATGATGGTTCGGAAAAAGGTGTAACCCTTTGAAAAAAAAAACTAAAAAGTGGTTTTTTAATTTAAAAGGTGTAACCCTTTAGAAAAACTAAAATATGGTTTTTTAATTTAAAAGGTGTAACCTTTTAGAAAAACTAAAAAGTAGTTTTTTTATTTCAAAAAGCCAACCACCCAAAAAACCCACTCATTTGTGAAACCCATTTAAATAAGCCCAACCCAAAATTAGGCCCAATCCAAAATTCCAAAAAAGAATAATCTGGACTTTACAATTAGGCCCAAGCCCAAGCCCAAATCCTAAACTCAGTTTATTTAAATTTCAATTTGTTTAAACATTTTTTCCATGTGGGACAAACACTTCCCACATTTTGCATACCCATTTAGGCTTATCAAAACACCACACTTTGGAGCTAATTTCTCATTCATCCGGAAACGAATTTTAGAAAGTAAATATACCACGTTCATCTCCTTGCGGAGAGAAACACGCTTGTCTAGAGATCCGTAAAAATTATTAACAGAATCTATTTCAAATCTCATCCAAAGTTTATGTTTTTAATGCCCCCGTTTCCAACAGGTTATCCTCACCCTGTTGAACCACATCGTCATTCATTATCTTGGATAAGAAATGTCATCATTCTTATCCGATAGAAATCTTTATCTCTGATAACAAAATATGTCGAAAAGGTTTGGCGGCTGGTCAAGGTAGGTTATTTTTCCTTATTAGGTGTCCCTCATTCCCAAACTTGCTCGTTTAGCTTTAGGAATGTAAATTTTTTTTTTTTTTTTGCCCCCGGCATTGTTCCCGAGGGAACAGTACCCGCAGCTACTATTTGTTGGAATAGTAAAACATTTTTTTTTTGTGCCCACGGCACTGTTCCTGCGGGTACTATTCACTGGAATAGTCAAGGTAGGTTATTTTTTTTTGCCCCCGGCACTGGAATAGTAAAACTGGATATATTGTGTGTGGATCTCTAAAACCTTAGTGCTTTACAAATATTATTTTTATTCAAAATCAATTCTCTATTATCAACTCTACAAATATTAAAAAACCTTTTAAATTATTTTTCTTTTTACTTCACCATTAATTATTGTTTCCCCATTCCCTCTAGTTCCACCTCGGACTTACCAAGTATATATTATGTTGCATCATTCTATAGTTGGGAGTAATATAAAAGTCGCAGCAAGTTTTTGTCGCTGTTATCGGGGAGTTGGTGTTGAACATGTTTTGGTGAAGCGATTGAAGCTACAACAAATTCGATCGATCGAAGAGTACTCGGACTTCAATCAAAACCTACTGAAGTTACGTCAATAATGCATAAAAAAAAAAAATCAGAATTACTTCTTTTGGTGGAGGTTTGTTGATTTTCGAACTTCTTCGCAAATCTGATAAACTCTTTCCACACATTTAGTTTTAGTTTTTATTATTTTATCTTATTTTATTTTATTTTGTTTTGTTTTCTTATTTTTTATTTTATACAATTTTGGTACCGTGATTATACTCACCGTTTAGTCAGAGTTGAGTCTAAAAATTTGTTTGGTAATTTATTTGATTCTTCTATTCACGATCACACACTTGACAACATGGATGGCATTGAAAATAATAATGCTAATAATCATGAAAATAATAATTTCCAAATTGCTCAACCACGAGTTAGAACTCTTAGAGCATGGATTATTGTTGTATACATGTTTTTGTGTAAATCCGATGTATCATTATAAATTTATACAAAAAATTTGAATTATTTATTTTTAGCTTAAGTGGTTGTTTTATACCTCTTTTGTGTAAAAATATATCTACTAATAACAATCAACCAATATTATATCTGGACGCTACATAATTTTTACAAACTTACTTAATATAAGGTTAATTCCTTAATGGAATGAGAATGAGGGAGGAGAAAGGAAATATACAAATGTAACTGTGTAAAAAGATTTTGTAAAATACATAATAATTTTATACATTGGTGATGTGACAGTGTATCTTAGTAAATTGTTAGAAATAAAACAAATTTACACATCATAGATGGCAGTGTATATTTTACAAAAAATTGTATTTCAACATACGGCTGGAGATGCTCTTATAGATTCTTTGCAACCTACTAAAACCACTTAAATTGCTACCTAAACTTGGTGGTTTAGAATATGAAAATCCTTATTTGCATAATAAAGAATTTGAAGAAGTTCGTGCTACTTTCCCTAATTAAAACAGTACTGAAGCGACTATTAGGTTGAAGTTGTTTCCTTTTTCCTTTCAAGAGAAAGAGAAAATTTGGTTTAATTTTTTGAGACCTAGATCAATTGGTTCACGACAAGAGATGCTAACTTAATTTTTCAAAAAGTTTTTCCCAATTCATATGACAAATGCTTTAAAAAGGCAAATTATGAATTTTTCTCAAAAAGAAAATGAAACTTTTTATCAATGTTGGGAACGTTTTAAAGATTTATTAAATTATTGCCCACATCATGGCTATGAAACTTGGAGTATTTATAAAAAAAATTCTATGATAGTTTAACTCCTAAAACGAGTCAATTTGTTGAGATGATATGCAATGGTGAATTTTTTTGACAAAAATCTCAACGAGACTTTTGATTATTGATGTAGGACACAATTCTGCACAGTTCGACAAACAGTTTAACGAGTCTATCTTTGAAAAAACCAATAGTGTTAAACCCACTAGCTAATGCTTGTGGGCCATGTTGTTTTCGGCTGAAAACCTTTATTTAGGGCTCCAAAATTGCGTTTTATTGTGTTATAAGAGGCCTGCCGATTATTTCAAGGCCTTAACGAAGTCCAAATGCTCTAAAATTTTAGATTTGGTATTTTTTATTTATTATGTTTCTTATTTTACTTTTTTCAAATTTTTTAGAGAGAATTTATTTTTATCCTTTTTTCTAGGATTAGTTTCCTTATAGGATTAGATTTTAGTTTCCATTTAGTGTTAGGTTTACTCTATTATAAATATTATGTATTGAAAGAGTAGAATTTAACCTTTTATCTTCAGAATTTTTTTATGAATTTATCTCTTATTTTGTGGATTCAAAACACCCTACTTTGTAGATTCAAAGTAAACCTGTTCCATGTGAACAATCTATCGCTTCCGCTTACATCAATTATTTAGACATTTTAGCAGAAAATGCCCAATCTTGGGACACCACTAATACTTTTAAAAAATCTGAGACTTTTACCAGCCATATAGGGGAGGTGAGCACTAGCTTAAGGGAGATGACCACCCTAGTATTAGGGTAGATAGTTTAACTAGAAAACTTGAAGCCATAGAATTAAGGAAAGTTAATGAAGTCATGTACGTGCCTAAAATTAATAATTTTGTAGTATTTGTGAGACCATGGGACACTCTACAAATGATTGTCTAATTATTCCAGCTTTTAAAGGTGTTGCATGATCAAGCAAATGCAAAAAATATAACTAAAGAGCCTTTTTCCACCCATTTTACTTAAACTTACAATTCGAGGTGGAGGAATCATCCAAATTTTAGTTGGAAAAAATGATACTTTTGTTCCTTATAATCAATCTTCTAAGTTGAGTTTAAAGATACCCTTGCAACAATTTATGGAAACTCAAGCTACTACAAATAGTGACATTAAATAGAATCATAATCAAAATTCTCAAGACATTAGTGACACAAAAAAACATCATTAGTGATATTAGAAAAACTCTTACTAAGTTCACCACATCATTGAGTATTCAAGAAAATAAAATAAAACTCCTTCAAAAATAAAATAAAATAAAATAAAATTTTGATGATTTAGTATAAGTTGACCACATCATTGAGTCAGTTTTTATTTTTTATTTTTTATTTTCCTAATTAGTTATGGTCTAAAAAAAAAAAAAATTTTTTTTTCAATACTCAATGATTTTTTTTATATTAATTTTATTGTTTTAGCATAATTTTTTTAGGTGATGGAAGTTAGTGGCGGTGGCAGTGGAGGTGTCGGTAGTGGTGGAGGTGGCAGTGGCGGCGGTGGTGGTTGAGGTGATAGAAGTTAATGGCGGTAGTGGTAGAGGTGGCGACTGTGTGATGGTGGTGGAAGGCAGCTATGGTGATGGCGGTGGCGCTGACAGAGGTTGAAGGTGGCAGTGATAATGAAGGCAGTGATAGTGTAGTGGTAATGGAGACAGTGGTGGTGGTGGTGGCAATGACAGTGGTAGAAGGCAGTGGAGGTGGTGGTGGTAGTGGCGGAAGAAAGTGGCAGTAGTGGAAGTCGGTGGTGGTGGTGGCCATAGTGGAGGTGGTGGTGGAGGTGGATAAAGGTAGTGGAGGTGGCGACGGTGTGTTGGTTGAAGATGGCAACAATGGTGGTGGTGGTTTTTGAACTTAGAGCATTAGGGTTTGTTGGGAACTTGATTTTTTTAAAAAAATATTGCTTAGGAATGAAATGGTCATTCCATAGGTTTAGTAGTGGAATGGATTTTTATTCCAATGGAATGGTCATTCCCACTTTAAATTACATACCAAACAAGGGAATGATTGGAATGGGCATTTCATTCCATTCCATTCTGGCACACTAAACGTAGCATAAAATTGAATATGTAAAATTTAAGACATATAGCATAAAATGTGAAAATTATAAAAATAAAATAATATCAAATTGTATAACCATTGAGGCATTTGTATTAGAACAAAAATCTCCACATATACATATTGAAGCTTCATAATCTCCAATTGGGATGGAATGAAACCTCAAATCCTGTAGAAGTTTCTATCGTAATATCTTCAATCAATTCATGGTTTAACAATAAAGAAAGAGGCGACTCCATTAAGGGTTAAGGATTTGATCACTGAAATGAAGGAAAGAGAGAGAACAAAGTTATAATGCCGATGGTGGTCGCAATCATTCAGTTTCTTAGATCAAAGTTGGGAGCCATATAAAGAGGTTTGCAAATTTGGAAAGTGAGAGAAACTGTAGAGGGAAAAGTTACAGAGATATAGGGGAAAAAATGTGTAAGAGATAGAAAGAGACATGTAGAGAGAAATTTGAAAGAGAAAAGTCATTTAGACGCTAATGTGTAAAATATTCTGGAAAAAACTTATTGAAATTTTTTTTTTTTTTTTTTTTAAAAAAAACTCTACTTAATTATGCATATTTTAAAATATGCTAACTTTTTCAAATTATTAAGTTTAACTGTTAACTTTATCAAACTAATTACAAAAGTGTACAAAAATACTATTTGACTTTATTTTATTTTATTTATTTTATTTTATTTTCTTGGCAAGAACAAACACCAACGCCATACGACATCTACAGGTAATGAGTAGCCATCAGAACATAACAAAACAGGACCCACAACCATAACAAAAGCTAGCAAAACAAACTAACACCTATGTCAAGATCGCAGTCTTGACAACATACATACTCAAAAGGTGTCAGTAAGTGTGGGGGTAGTAGCTCCCACAAGCAACACTAACTAAGTCGCAAAAGATTAAGATGAGTTAGAAGTAAAAGATTCCGCCAACTGAGCCCCAGACTTGGCTGAAGAATCAGAACGAATGCCAACGTTAGCACCAACGCCATCCATATCCATAGATGGAGACACATCAGTAATAGACATAGTCTTAATCTTTTTGTCCCCTCGCACACGGCCACGTGGAGATCCAGCAGAGCTAGACTGGCGACGCTTCCGACCTTTCTTAACGGGAGAAGAGCCTTGACTATGAGAAGTAGCAGAGGAGTCCGAAGTAGACCCAAACACAGGTTTAGCCCGGCCCTTACCGTTCTTCTGACCTTTTGACAGATCATCCCACCTTTGCAAAGGAAGGATCCGACCCTTAATAGGAGAAGTAATAGGTTCAGAAACCATAACCTCTTCGGTATGGGCCGACGCCACATGACTCTGGGAGGAAGAACCTTGAATGAATCCGACCTCCATTGGTATAATAGGAATACCAAAAGGAGAATCATCATTTCTCGGACATTGGACCTGATCCAAAATCACCCCTGTCAATCCCAAACCTGCGCCACCCGATACATCTCCTATACCTAGTCCCTCCACCGGGCGGGATGGACCACCTACACTGGAAATGGCAACAACAGCAGGACTCAAAGGCTCCCCCAAATGAAGTCCCTGATGAGTACCGAGAAGAGTAAAAGACGGATCAACCTCCCACCCAGGCACCCCACAGAAAGTAGACGACGACTTAAACCCCACAAGATCAGCCACATCAACGACGTCGCCATCTTTCACATACAACCAACTCTTACTATGATTATCATTCACCAAATCCACCCCATCACGCTCTATATTCCAAAGATCTCTGCCAGAAAACCATCAACACCCAACCAATCGCCATACTCCTTAATATCCCCAGGCCAGACAGACAACCCAGTTGGACAAGACTTCCTTTGATGGCCAATAACACAGCAGTGAAAACAGAAAATTGGCAACTTCTCATAACGTATCTGTGCCCTAGATTCTTTACCCGTTAGACTGGTAAGAAGAAGATGTCGTCGAAATGGCTGTGTAATGTCTAACTCCACGCGAAGACATAAAACCCGACTAACAGTCATCTCCAACTCATTCCCATCCCCTAAACCTTTATCCTTCTACTCAACTTTCAAACACCGACTGAAAGAAGATGTGATTTTTTCCCCAACCTTCTCCGACAGAAAGTTGGCATGCACATCAAAAAGCTGTATCCAAAAGGGAGAAACTTGAAACGGAAGATCCGACACTAATAAGCTCTCCTCCCAGGCCTTAATCACCACTAGATGGCCATCAAACAGCTATGGACAGCCATCCAAAATAAGTTTCCTAATAGCAGCATCCGAAATAACCAGTTGAAAGAGATTATGGGCCACCTTAAAAACTTGTAACCGCTTAGCAATCGGCTCTTGCTGTTTATCACGTGGCCATAATTTATTAAAAAGCTTAGCAAAAGTAAACTTAACCCCAGACAAAGTCGTTGTTTTAGAAGCCCACACTTTCCCAAAAAGACTAGAGCAACAAAGTTTGTCACTCTGAGCAGTATCATCTAGCGTTAACTGAATGGGCTCCTTTTCCTTCGATGTTAATGTCAACCTTTGTAACTGAGTGAGAATGTTAGACGCCATCACTAACCAACCAACGAAAAGACAATGACAAAACACACTGCACTCAAGAGTATCCGACACACAAGCATAACATAACAGTAAAAGAAGCACATGTACAACTGTTACCAAAAGAGGGAGCTGATAGCTAAAAAGGAAACTAAGATAAGCACCAAAAATAAGCAAAAAAACACTATAAATAAGAGCCAATTTACCCAGAACAAAAGCGTGCTTACTATGCCAAACAAGCAGGACCATACACGTCACAGCTCTTGGGTAAAGAAAAGGCTGCAGCATAGTGCATCTCCGACCTCGGTAAGAGAGCACCGACTTAGAAAAAGTAGGAGAAGAGTTAAGACATTGGCCCCACTACAAGAAAAAATCTCCATGAATAACATCAGGCATACGGGAAAAAAATCCTCTCCG